TAATCCTTTCTCATGCTGCTAATAAAGATATACTCGAGACTGGGTACTTTCTAAAAGAAAGAGGTTTAATGGACTCCCAGTTCCACATGGCTGGGGAGGCCTCACAATCATGGTGGAGGACGAAGGCAGAACAAAGGGACATCTTACATGACGGCAGGCAAGAGAGAGCTTGTGCGGGAGCACTCCCATTTAAGAAACCATCATGTCTCATTAGACTTATTCACTATCATGAAAACAGTATGGGGGAAACTGCCCCATGATTCAATTATCTCCATCTGGCCCCATCATTGACACATGGGGGTTATTACAGTTCAAGGTGAAATTTGGGTGGGGACACAGCCAAACCGTATCAATAACCTACTGCAAAGTACAGCCGACTCCAAGCCTGACAGTAGATTCCTTCTTGAATGCTTTATACTAGTAACTGTAGTTGTGATAATTTTATTTCCAGATAGCCATTACTGCAATTCTTGTCCACTATGTTAGTGTTGCAACAACAAAAGCTGCTCTAGAATGTGACAGCCGTTGTTGACAACAGGTCTAGGAGGCCAATATTTGCCAAGCATCAGATTCAGCAATCTGGTTTCAAACAGCAGAGGAGACTGGGACATTTTTAAAAATCTGTATGTGTGTGTGTGTGTGTGTGTGTGTGCGTGCGCGCGTGCGTGCGTGTGTGTGTGTGTGATGTGAGCATGTGGTGGGGGGATGAGTGTGTGTATATGTGTATGTGTGTGTGTACGTGTGTATGTGTGTAGGGTGTGTGTGGTGTGTGTGTGTGGTATATGTATTGTGTGTATGTGTGTGGTGTGTATGTGTTGTGTGTTGTGTGTATGTGTGTGGTATGTGTATTGTGTGTATGTGGTGTGTGTGGTGTGTGTGTATGTGTGGTGTGTGTAATGTTTGTGTGGTGTGTGTAATGTGTATGGTGTATGTGTATGTGGTGTGTGTAATGTGTATGTCTGTGGTGTGTATGTGTATGTCTGTGTGTAATGTGTGTGAGTGTGTGGTGTGTGTAATGTGTGTGTGGTGTGTATTGTGTGTGTATGTATTGTGTGTGTGGTGTGTATATGTATGTCTGTGTGTAATGTGTGTGGGTGTGTGGTGTGTGTAATGTGTGTGTGGTGTATATATGTGTGTAAAGTGTGTATGTGTGTGTATTGTGTGTGGTGTGTATGTGTGGAGCATGGAGCACATTGTTGGCACTTTCTTTTGAGAGGCAACTAATGCCTTTTATTTTGGAAATGAACTGACATTAGTTGGAAGATGACCTGCCTTAAGTGTGCTGGCACAGGTAGCCACAGTAAGGGCAGCATTCCAAGGAGCCTGTAAAATAAGCAAGCTAAGGTGACAGAAGACAAGCTCTCAGAGCCAGGGAAGCAGCCTGGGCCCAGGAGACGGCTCCAGGAGCAATTTAAATGATGAAGTGATAGGCATTCAATACAGAGGAAACACAGAGGACAGTGCAATCAATCACTGCCAAGCTTATCTTCTGACAAGGAGTAGGGCTCCAGCTTCCAGATGTAACATTAAAACGTAATGTTTCCACTGGGGTTTAGCATGGCAGGTTTCCCTGAAGCTTCAGTTTCACTCAGTTAACTAATTATGAGAAAATGCGACATCGGTATTTACTTTTTCTACAGGGACAAATCATTGCCAGCAGGAGGGAGAAGTTGTTATTTTTGTTCTGCTTTGTTTTGTCATTAAAAAGAAATTACTTACACAGCAGTAAATATACTCTTGTTAGAGGGGGGAAGAATTATCTCCATAGTTCTATCCATTCAATCATGTCTTTGGTTTTCCAGGGACTTGGAGGATAAAAGAGAGTTAAGAGTTTGGTTGTTAGCATTGGGTCTGGAAATGAACTCTCTCACCTACCAGCTATGTGACCTTAAGCAAGTTATTTAAGCACTCTGAGCGGGCTTTTGCAGCTGTGAAACTGGGAGCGATGCATCCATTACAGAGTTATTCGTGAAAGATGAAAGGACATAATGCAGTTGAGGCACTTCAGCACAGGGCTTCTGCATAATAAGTGCTCAATACAATTTAGCCTTTATTCTTAGTGACCCTGATGCACTATTATATAAATATGGAAATAGTTTATGTACATTTAGACCTTGTGTTGCCAATTCTATATGACCACATGCCTAATCATCAACTAAGTCTGTACTCTGGCACTGTAAGCTAAATGGTGTATTAAACATTTTATTCCTCCTCACCCTGATGTAATGAAAGGTTTCCAGAGGAAATTTAATGATAATGAAAGAAACAGTTATTCTCTCCCATCTGCTTTTAACTGTTCAAGGGCAGAACATACTCCCAAGCAAACATCACAGAAAAACTCGTGCTTCCTCTTCTACTGCCTGGATGCTGGAAAAATACTATGTTTGGGGTGCTTTTAACAAACTAGAAAGTCATTTTACAAATGACTTCTCAATTGAACTTGCTACAGTCCCATGAGGTTAGCAGTTTATGATTAGCCCATTTTACAAATAAGGAAAACAAAACAAACAAGGTAAGTTAAATGACAAAGCCACTGTATTCAAGCACTCTATGAAAGAGTACCATGGGAATGAAGAATGCCAGGGTAACTGGACAATAAAAAAAGTAGATTTTTTCAAGAATAAATTCTTGTCTCAGAGAGAGCCAAAGTGACTAGTTATTATAGAGGAAGGACTATTTGTGGAAAGCAAACAAAAAAGAAAATCAGGAGACATAGGGTTTCATATTGTGATTTCACAATCCATTTGCCCAATGTGCCTTAAATTTTCTACCAATAAATTTGAGGAAAAAGAATTGCTACTTCTCACCTCTCTTACAAGTGTATTTCAGTGCCATTATTGTGTACAAATAATATGTAAGATTGATGCTATGACATCCAAGAGGTTGTATACTAGCCATATACATGGGAACTCTTAAAAATGTATAAACAGAAGAAAATATATTTTGAGTGGTAGATAGAAAATCCTGGCAATAAGGAAAAAAGATACTTTTTTCAAGAATATATGGCCTAGAAAATTATGAACAATTAGATAAGATAGGTAAACCATCACTATAATTTTGCATTATGTACTTGAACTATTTTTGGAAGTTACAGAAACAAACTATGAAGAGGTATGAACATGTAATAAATTTTTTGAAGCCACAAAATTATAATAGCCCACTAATGTCTGTAATGTTTCTTCAACTAATCACATATAAGGTTCTTAAAATAATCAGTTTTGAAGTGCTCTTAATACCAAGCAAGTCTTTCTGTCAGTAGTGATCCTTTAGGACTTCAAAGGACCCTGACATATGCCCCCTGTTATTTCACAACCACTTAAGAAGTTCTAGTGGACTATAACTTGTCATTTACAAGTCTCCCTCATCCACCATTTTTGTCTGAATGCGGGATAAATTCTTTAGATAGGAAGGCAAAGACAATTAAAAGTCATTAAGGGGAATCAGAGTTCAAAATAAAAACCAAGCACAAGTTCTAGTTGATAATGTGAACATGGAAGTGCCAAGGGCATATATACATGTGCAAACACCTAGTCATACCAACAGCAGTCAGCAAAATAGCACATAATAGCAGGTTACCATCAGGTGGTCGATTGTCTAATTCTGATGTAATCAGCCTGAACATAATTTTCCCTATGATTCTTCATAGAAAATAATACAACTTCATACCAGTATTGAGTTCAGATTTCACAATGTGGCAGTAGAAGAGGCCTGCCTGAAACTCATCCCTTTTTTCATTCATTCATTTAATAAACACTTTTTCATCGTTTGCTATTTGTTGGAAACTATATCAAAGCACTCACAGTCTAATAGGGAAAACAGGTAAATAAAGCATGAAATTTGCGCTTTAAACCCTAGAATGTGAAAAATAGTTGGCACAATGACAAGCAGATCAGCAAGCCCTCACAGAGGATGAGGTGAGGTGCATAGAAACTGTTTATATGGCAAAAGAGTGAATAGTATGTTCTCTCTTATATGTCAGAAAGAACAGCATGAATAAAAGCAGGGAAGTGTGGTAAAGACAGCGAGCTCCAGAAACTAGATAGAGAATTAGATGTAGTGCCACACAGCTGGAATATAGATCATGGGTAGGAGAAGGGAAAAGATGGTAAATGAAGCCATAAGCAGTCGAGGAAGACAAAGATTCCTTTATTTAGTGCTGACTAGTCCATGTTAAAATACAATATTGGAAAGATTTCATTCCAGAGGCAATAGGTGTAGATTTTTACTACAGAATAATCATTCTGGTGCTAGCTAGGTACACAATGAACTAGGGAAAGGAAAATCTAGAGGTATGGATACCAATTATGAGAGAATTTCAAAAGTCCAAGTAAGATACAAAGGGGCCCCAGACCAAAGTTCCATATAGCATATTTGTAAAACATAATTATGTAGCATAACTGACTCATCGTAGCCACTTAATAAACATTTTTGTGAGTGACTGGATAAATGAACAACTCCAAAGGTGAGAAGAAACAAAATTAGGTATTTTCTCCTTTGAGTGAAATAGCTGTCTCTTAAAATGCAAACAATTCATCTCAACTAGGTAACAGCAAATGCCACTTACTGCTTGACCTCCTTTCAGACTTAGGATGCTCTTTGCAAATGAGTGATTGGAACGTGATCCCATGTCCAATCTGGAAGGGGCGGTCGGGAATATCTACCATAAACTCCCATTTTAAAGACAAAAATCTGAGTCACAAAAGTTACAGGACTAGCCCAAAACCACAAAATGTTTCTGCGGATGAGACTGAAATCAGGCAGAATAAATTAAGTCTTCACAATATTTGTCAACCAAACTAGTTGGAAGAGATTTGAAAGGTATCAAATTCAGCTAGGGTGATTTAAGGTTTTAAAAGTGTTTGGCATTTCACATTCAAAAACCACAAAGCAACATCTTAGAGAAATTTTCTTAAACAATTATTTGCTCTGACAATGAATTGCAAAGACCAGGGGTCAAGTTTTAATTCTGAATTGGTATAAATCAGAAAAATGATTCTTACCATAATCTTCTGAAGAGACTGGTGACCTAAAAGGAAATAATAAGCATGATCAATATTTTATATGATAATTATGACAATCGTCAAGAATAATTTCAAAGTAATTAAAACCCCAAATTCAATTAAATGGAAACTCAATATAGTAGACAGTGTAATTAATGTATTGATTGCAATGGTATATTTCAGTCCACAGCCCCCAACCCTTACCTGGATTGGTTGGATGTTACAGGTTACTAAAATGTCAGTCTGTGCATGGTGTCCTAGGCTGCAAAAACTTACCTAAGTCTAGATTTACCACACAAAAAAGAGAACTCATAGAAATGTAATATAGATGAAATCCTCTGAGGTGTGGTGCCCAAGGACAGGCATTCAGTGTAAATGCCAGGGATGTAAAAATAAATAAATAAGCACTAGATTGGGTATCTGTCAATACAAAGAGATCTATTTGAATGGTATAAATTGAGTCGGAGGTAAAAGGAATAGCGTGCATCCTTATCATTACTGGGTTTTGTTTCCACTCTTCGTGGAATTTAACATTTGGATGAGCTGACCCTCTAATTGCTGCCCTATGTCTCAGAACCTGGAAGAAACAGCAGGAGGCAAGAAGGCAATCACTGGGATTCCACAAAACTTTCGGAACTCAACAACTTCTGCAAACTATATGTGAGTTCTACTCTAATTATGATAATCAGATCTCAAATGAAAAATCATATCAACCCTAAAAAGGTTGCTTCTCTCACTTGACTAGTAATGGAAATACTTTGAGCAATATAGACCTGAGCTTGGAGATGAATTCGCCTCCAGCTTGAAGACTACAGCTTTGACTCACACTTAATTCTTTACTGGGGAGAAAGAGAGACATACGATATTATATTCAGAGTTGTTGAAATTATGAAGGGAAAGGCTAGATATAACATACCTCCCTATTTTTAAGGAGTCTTCTTCTCTGAATGATTGGCCCACTGAAGTCCATAGCAGGGAAATGACCAAAGATAAACTCAGGAGTTTGGCAATAAAGCTGCCAATTATTAGAACTAATATTTATGAGACATGAAGATAAATGTCAGGGCAAGAATCATTATTCAGTCAATGCACAAATTGTTGAAGCTCATTTTTAGCTATTTGGGGATGATTGATATGATTTTATCTACTGGTTAGTAATATTATTGCTTATTATTTGAGTGAACAGTAAAGTATAAAGACACAGTGGTAATGGAGAAAAAGCCTTAAACCTCAATGAGTGGCAAAGTATCAATTTACTTCAACTGAGCAAGCTGCTTAAAGTAGACTTTCGCATGAAAACCACAGAATCCCAAGATTTGGTGGAAAGGAAATTAGCTTCTGGAAGATGAACATAGGGAGTGGTAAGTGGAAACCTACCTACCACAATCCCTAAGTCAACACCGCTCAAGAAACACCACTTGGCCTCCCTGGGTAGGGCTGATTTATCCTCCTACCGGATTCCCTTCTCTTGTATTATCCACACACTGGCCATTCTCACTGGGTTGGAACCCTCATGAAACTAAGACTACATCTTTGTCTAGAACAAGTGAGGCCTTAGTTAAAATTTGTTGAGTTGAATTAACCTCAGTCCTGTCACACTGATATTCAAACTGACATATTCTGGAGCTTCCCAAAAAGTCATCATGTTACTGTTACACCATCTTTAAGGCAAGTTTGCCTGCTCCTAGGCCAGCTGCAAGAAAAAGTCCCAGAGAATGTACTTGAAGTTCTAATTGGTTATAATGTGGATACTCTCAGAGCCAAAGGACATCAAAAGTACCCAGAAGCACAGATACCCACACTCTCCTTCATTAATTAAGAAAACAAAGGAGGGAGGTAAGTATTGAATGAGAAGTGAAATGAAATTAGAAGTTGAATCTAAAACAACATATATTTTAAAGACATGAGCTAATTTTTTCAGCTGCTTAGGTCATAATAGAGTCAGCCACAAGGAAGTATCTTCATTCCTGGTGTTTGCCAATCAGAAGTAAGTAAAAAATGTGTCTTGGATTGTTTGCAATTAATTTGTCACAGAGCTAAAGGAACAAAGTAAAATTCATGCCAAAGGACAACTGAATGTCTCAGGTGGAGAGCTTGTGAAGCAGGGTCTTTACTGCCTTTCTGCAAAAGCAAAGCATTGATATTAAATTTGAAAAATTCCAGATGGCTCCATTAGAGTCCTAAGGGGATGCATTCTGCAGTATGTCCAGGCAGTGGATAAAAAAATATCAATTTCAGTGTTTCATGAAAATTAGTCATGTTGAGTTTCCACGTTTAATGTCTCCCATATGCCTGGCTTTGTGGAATTTTAAGCCATATGGAGTATTTCCATCCTCACTTAGTATTTCACCTTTCACTGAAACAAGTTACTGCATTGTACTACTGAGATGTGCACATCCATTATTGCTGGAAATGGGCATAAAGAGTTAGCTTATGGGTGGATCACCTGAGGTCAGGAGTTCAACGCCACCCTAGCCAACATGGTGAAACTCTGTCTCTATTGAAAATACAAAAATTAGCTGGGCTTGGTGGCAGACTCCTGTAATCCCAGCTACTTGGGAGGCTGAGGCAGGAGAGTTGCTTGAACCTGGAAGGCAGGGGTTACAGTGAGCCGAGATCACGCCACTGCATTCCAGTCTGGGTAACAAGAGAAAACTCCTTCTCAAAAAAGAAAGAAAAAAAAAGTTAGCACAGAAAAGAAGAAATATTCTGAAATCAGCAATATAAGTAGTTATTTTAACAACAGAGGTTGAATCCCAGGAACAGATAATCCTCTTAAACCTGACAATGGAGGCATGCAGGAAGGCTCCCTGGTTATACGTTTCACCACACCTGAAAGACATGTGGTTTTATCCCTGGCTGCTTATTTTTCCTCCATGTAGAGCAAGTCTCTGCTCTTACAATGTAAACTCTTACCAGCATTCTTATAGCTCTCCTCTTCACTTCTTTTCTGATCATAAGTCCCTTTAGCTACAGAATATTTTATGTTTGTTTCTGCTTTGTTTTTATTTATTTTGATACTTTTTACATTTTCAAATATAGCAAAATCAAACAAAACAAAAATTCAAGGCATGCATTCAAAAATATTTCTCCTATTAAGCCTAAATCATTATTATTCAGGTTTGAATCTCTCCATTCATTTTGATTCAATTTATTACTTCAGACCCTGTTGTTACCAGGCCATGTGCCAAGTGATGGAGACACAAAGAACAATTTCAGGGAACTCATAATCTAGTGAAAAAGAAAAATATGTAAACAAATAATTATAATGTAAAAAATATACAATGATCAAAATATGCATGAAGTTAAAGAGGTAGCACAGAGGACAGAGAGATTGATTCGGTACGAAAGCGTGAAAGAAGGCTTTGAGAAGCAAGAATCATCTGAACTGAGCTCTGAAGAATACAGAGGAGTTTAAAGGCAAGTAAGAAAGGAGAAGAACTCCAGGCAGAACAGCAACAGGTATGTGAAAAGGAGTACAGATGTGAAATTGCATAGAATCCTATCAGATATACAAGTAACTCGGTATTGCTAGAATGTAAAGGAGGAATAAAAGCAAGGACTTGAGAAGTAAGTGGCAAGGGCCGCCTCATTCAGGGCGTGCGGGGTCCCTGTGAAGTGCTTGCAATTTACCTTCTAAGCTAAATGGAGCAAGCTTGCAAGGAAGAGAAGTCACACAGTTTGGGCAGGCAGTTTGAGAGTGAAGCATAAAAGAACAAGAAGACAAATTAAAAGGCAGAGGTCAAGTTAAAGACTGTGACTGAAAAACTTCTATGTTAGTAACACAGAAAAAATTTCTCTGCTCTTCAATTTTTTTGAAACCCATGGTAAATGAAAGGGAAGATGAGAAAGAGTAAAGGAAATACCCTCTTTGACTAGATATTTATAAGCCCAAACCATCATACACGAAGAAGAGCTACCAAGTACAGTAAAAATAGGGTTAAGTTTTAGGGAAACAGAGAATTTTTATCTAAGTCGGCTAAAGAGATATAAACTATTTTATGCACAAGAAAACCTATGTCAGGAGCCTTCCACTTTAAGCCAGGGTGTCCTACTAGTCAGAAGAGAACCAAACCTAGAAGAGGGTGCTGTTAAGAAAAGGCTTGAAGATTAACAAAGAGAAAGTCAAACTTAGAGCAGCACATCAAATCACTAAGCCCAATCATCCATCCAAACCAGAAGCTAAAAAAAAAAAACAACTCACCCAATGCAAATAGTACAAGTAATAATGGAAAAAGAACCAGCATGACATCTATGCACAAATATCAGAGGAGAAAACAAAACATAGGCAAAGAACACACAAAAGATGATGGATGAAGCAGATAAAATTATTAATAAATCTCCATGAAATTTAGAAATGGAAGGAAGGAAGAGGGTAAGGGAGCAAGGGGGAAGGGGAGAAAAGGGGAAGGGAGGGAAGGAGGGGTAAATAGAGTGTCTGTGAAATATAAACTTAAAGAAGAAATATGATCAAGAAATAGTCATAGGGAGATGAAAAGAGCAAAGTCTGCCCAGAGCCTTTGAACTAGTCGTTATTAAAGAAACTTGTGGCTTTTTCCACTGTGGTACCACTGCACTGGAAAAAGAAGATTAAGAGAAGATAAATAATAATTAAAAATATATTAAGATATGAAACATTGATGAAACAAATTGAAAAAGATACAAATAAATGGAAAGACAGCTCATGCCCATGAATTAAAATAATTAATATTGTTAAAATGTTCATATTTTAAGCAATCTAGAGACATAATTCCTATCAAAATACCAAAGACATTCTTCACAGACTAGAAAAAAGTCTTAAAACTTGTATGAAACCATAAAAGACCCTGAATAGCCAAAGCAATCCAGAACAGAAAGAACAAAGCTGGAGGCATCACACTACCTAACTTCAAAATATTTTACAAAGCTATAGTAACCAAATCAGCATGACACTGGCATAAAAACAGACAAATGGAACAATGGAACAGGATTGAGAGCCCAGAAATAAATCTATATGTTTACAGCCAACTGATTTTCAACAAAGGCT